CCCCCCCTCCATCCCTCAACACAACCTCTCTCTCCCAGCATCATCCCTCCCGCATCGCACCACGCTTCATATCAGGCGGTTTCTACGACAAGTGCAAAGACGTACGCTTCTACCTCGCCAAAGCAGACGACACACATCCCCGCAAGAACAGCTTCACCGGGTACAAGTCTTCGCCGTGGCTTGTCGCTAAATGTCCTGATAAGAATGGCAAGTATCTGTGTACGTGGTTGGCGCTGAGTAAGTGTTTGCTTAACTCGGAGGGGGAGCTGTATCGTGGTGCAAAGTAAGTATCTATCCCCCCATACTAGAGGTTTCTGGGGATGTTTGTTGTGAGTCGTTGGCTAATGATGGTGGTAGTGGGAATTTTCACGGGTCGTGTACGACGTGTAAGTTGACGGGGAGTAACTTCAACTGCGGATGCTGGAGTGGTTTGAAGAAGGGCAAGAATGATTTCGGGAACCGAGTTCATCGGACGAGTATCGATTTGAGTATGTTTTCTCTTCTGGGCTTGTGGATGTATCGCTAACGTGTGATAGATGTTGCTGTTGGCGCTGTTGATGGGTATTTGACCTGTCAAGGGAATTGGGGGATCCTCGATTATTGCAGTGGAAGACCATCGCATGATCCTTTCCTCGATGTCAAGTAATGATCTTTTATGAATATTCCTTATTTTTTGTTAAATTGACACAGGTTGCTGGCGTTTTCTCTGCGTTTTGTCTTTCCTCGTGTTTGTTCTGTTTTCGCTTCTTCACATTCGCTTGTATAGCTTCGTTTTGATGTTCTCGCAATTTGTTGCGTATCGCTTCGTTATTTATTAGACCTGAATCTTTAGTTTCGCTTCTCCTCTTTGTTCCCGCCATCGATTTGTCGATTCAACCAACTCAGGACAACCCTTCAACAACCATCCCCATTTCTTCAAAAATCCCACACTAACCTCCCAACTCCTCTCCTCATGCGCTTCCCCCCAAACAATCAGATAAGCATCATCCAAGCCCTGACTACTCATCAATCCTAGTATGTCAATACACAACTCGTCTTCATCAAATACACCGCTCGAGTAGCCCTTTAGCATGTTATCTCTCAATTGAGGAAACGGCAGTAAATCGACCCAGGGATGGTGCTTAATCTCGATCTGTAGCTTTGTCGGCCGTAGCGATTCGGGACATGAGGATTTTACTAGAACACCGTCTGGACCTAGCGTGTTCCAGGGCGATATCACATCGTCGCAGCATAATCCCTGCAGTGGGATGCCGATGTGCACTGCATTGCTCGACACGGCATTAACGGCGTTGAGGCGGATGAGCGAAGGCAGAAGTGCCGGACGATGATTCTTTAGACTATGTTGCATGTGAACGAGTTGCATGAATGCATATGCAACAGCACGTTCTCTTGCAGTGGTGAATATGAGGATTCCATTCGTGTGGACTTCTTCAGGGGTGACATTGGCATATTCCTCATTCCGAGCCTTCCGTTTTCCTGCAATGGTCAGTCTTCTTCAATGCACGGTATAGCAGAGTTAGAGTATGAGTGAGGGAACTGACGATAAGCTCTCTGATTCAGACGATTCTGCCGTCTCCGTCTATCCCTCGCCTCAGTGATCCCCGTCCAATCATCATCTGGGTCTTTGAGCTCCGTTAACTGGGGCAGCTGTCCGAGACGTTTCGGAGCCGGCGGTTGAGTAATAGTAATCTCTGCTGCCATCGGGATTCTTACGTGAAGAGTGCGAGATTAGGACCAGACCCTCAAATACTCGGTCAAGACTTTTTTTATGTACTTGGCTGACGAGGAATCGTAAACTCCGGGGGAAGAAGAAGGAAGGGTTTATTACTGAGCGGTAGAGATTAAGACTACGTAGACCTTTTAGGCTGTTTATTGCTTACAATTGATGTTTTTTCTCACTGCTTCTGAAGGCTTTCCAAAGATTGGGATGGGCTCTGATTTGCTACGGAGATAGTGTCCATGGCGCTAATGCAACCTGCTGACATCAAGACCCGAGAGCAGAATTTAACCCATCATCATCCCTGTAAGAGACTGACGGGACGCTGATGTCAGACCTTTAATCCAACTCAACCCAACCCTCGGATCAAAAGAAACACCGTCCGACTCTAAGATCAATGACATCTCTATCCATACTAACACTCTCTAGGGTCTATTCAGTCTAGCATCTCCATTGAATCACCAACTACCGAATGCCGATGCATCTCCCCTCGGCAGACCCGCGTCAATCTGGAGACGTCACCGGCCCTTTTCCCACACAATACGCCCTGAGATTAGTGGGCTAACGGCGATGGCTTCCTTTTTGCGTCCAGTCCCAAATGGAAAATTTAACTCCGTTTATATCCATCTCCATTCCATTCCATAGTTAGCATTACATCGGTTCCTACCGTTATCTGGATGGATGCTGATAAATTCTCTCGTCTTCGATGACGTTGCGGAGTCCGAAAGCTTTTTTTCTTGCCCTGGATGGTTGTAGAATCTTGGAGGTCAAAGTCATATATATAGCTTGCAACTTCACGTAGATGGTCTGATCAATACAATCTTGATCCTGTTTGCTTTTCATCTTTCAAGAGTAACTACCCAATATACAAAAATGTCTACCGATTACGAATTCAAGGGCTGGCTTGGCCGTGATCCCAGCTCCGTCAATGGAAAGATGGAGTGGGATACCTTTGAGCCCAAGAAGTGGGAGGAGAACGACGTCGACATCAAGATCACACACTGCGGTATCTGCGGTTCTGACCTTCACATTCTTCGCTCCGGCTGGGGCGAGACACCTTTCCGTAAGTCCTCTCTCACTCCATACAGACACAATGGAACAGTCACTGACCAGGAGCAGCCTGCTGTGTCGGCCACGAAATCGTCGGCAAGGCTGTCCGCGTCGGCTCCAACGTCACAAACATCAAGGTCGGCGACAGAGTCGGTGTAGGCGCCCAGGCCCGCAGCTGTCTCCGCGACGACTGCTCCGAGTGCTCCGCCGGCCGCCTCAACTACTGCCCCAAGATGGTCAGCACCTACGGCTCCGTCTACCCCGACGACATTGGCAAGTCCTACGGCGGCTATGCCGACTACAACCGCACCGACTCCCGCTTCGTCGTAAAGATCCCAGAGTCTCTCCCCTCAGAGTACGCTGCGCCCATGCTCTGCGGCGGTGTCACCGTCTACGCTCCCCTTCGTAACAACGGCTGCGGTCCTGGAAAGACTGTGGGCATCGTCGGTGTAGGCGGTCTGGGCCACTTTGGCGTTTTGTTCGCAAAGGCTCTTGGTGCTGATAAGGTCATTGGTATTTCTCGTAAGGCCTCCAAGAAGGATGAAGTCCTCGCTCTCGGCGCAGATGCCTACATCGCTACTGACGACGATGAGGACTGGGCCAACAAGAACGCCAAGACGATCGATCTCATGATCTGCACTGTTTCAAGCAGCAAGATGCCTTACAGCGATTACTTCAAGCTCCTCCGTCACGGCGCCGACTTTGTGCAGGTCGGAGCTCCTGACTCTGGTGAACTCCCTCCCATCAACGCATTCAACCTCATCATGGGCCAGTTCAAGCTGAGCGGAAGCTTGATTGGTTCGCCCAAGGATATCGAAGAGATGCTGCAGCTTGCAGTTGAGAAGAATGTCAAGCCTTGGGTTGAGAAGAGGCCGATGGAGGACGCGAACCAGGCTGTTGTCGATATGGAGAATGGAAAGGCTCGATACCGATATGTTTTGGTTAACCAGAAGAACATTGATTAAATTAGCGGGATGAGAATGATAGAGATAGACTGTACATAGAATATGAATGAACAATAGAATAATCTTAAACAAGAATCTTAGTGAGCTTTCTTTGGTGATTGACTGGATAGTGGCATACCCCGCTATTTACATCACGCCCTTCAGCACCATGAATCGGCACTTCACTCACTAAACTACAACGGCCTCAGTCAGTCCAATTAACACTTGTTTCTCATTTTAACGACTCTTACCAAAGACCAATGCCTCATCCACCATCATAATGCCCCGTTCAGACGAAGCACAAGCCTTCTTCCACGCCGTATACTCAGCCGTCCAAGAGATCCCCCACGGCAAAGTCACAACATACGGCCACATCGCCATGCTCGTTGGAACCCGTACCAAACCTCCCTCACACACCCAGAAACTCAAATCACTAACATCCAACAGCTCAAAGACCTCGTCAGGTAGGCGTCTGTCTAAAACACCTCCCCGCCGATCCATCCCAGCCCTTCAACCACGACACCGTCCCATGGCAAAGAGTCATAAACTCCAAAGGCCAAATATCACCCAGGTTCGTCCATCAATCCCTCACTACACCTCATATCTAACTATTTAGATCTCAACCTGGAGGATCTCGCTCTCAAGCTGATGCCCTCCAAGCAGAAGGCGTACAAGTCGAGACAAACGCAATGGGCGAACACTCCGTTGACTTCTCCCAATACGGCTGGTTCCCAGACCTACTCCCCTCAGAAGAAAACGAGCAAGGCGAATGAATGATTTTAAGGGTCTTTGAAACTAGTATTTACCACTATCATCTTTCGGAAAACAAAAATTCACGTTTTTGTTTTCCCTTATATGTAATTTGTAATTGCGGAACCCAAAGATCAAATGGGTTCCCTCTCATAAGAATCATCCCATCTTCCCGCTTCATTCTTTGAATCAAAGTCCGCCACCCAAAAAAATATCTCCCCCTGGAGACTGAAGGGAGTTCAAATCGAAAAAAGAAAGAAAAAATTACACATGTACAAAGACAGACACCCAAAATGACATCTTTATGCATCGAGCCGCTCGTGTATGTGATAAATCTCCCCTTTTCTTCACGGGATTGGAAAAACAAAGGGTAATAAAAAAAAGAATCCTCCAAACTCCTGGCCAGTGCTTGAAAACTTGGTTGGGATGCCCGACGACGGAAAAAAAGAATCGTCAGACCGACAATAAAACTCGAGGGGGAATATTGGTGAACAACATCAAATCAGAAACGTGATGACACATAAAGGCGTTGCAAAAAGAATCCCATCCCAATCAGCCCCCCAAATGCTGAATGTGTGTGTGTCCCGTGATCAAAAGACTCCGGAACAGGCCGTACATAATAAGTCGGCTAGTCACAGCTTCGCCTCCTCTAGAAGCAGTTCAAGCTTCCCTTCTTCTTCTTGCCCTTGTTGATGGCATTCATACGCTCCTCGAGCTGACGGCGCGCAGCCTCGGCAGCCTGTCGCTTCTTGCGCTCCTCCTCCACAGCTTGGAGACTCCATCTGTTGTCCTGGACAGGCTCGGGGGGAGGACGGTCCTTGAGCTCCTTGACCTCGACCTCTAGCTCACTAGCACGCTTCTTCCAGGCATCACAATCGGCCTTGACTTTATTAGATTGCCTTTCCAGGTCTGTAAGAGCCTCCTCGAGCGTCTGCGTAAGCTGACGCTCCGCATTTAGGTGCTTCTCGATTGTTCGGATACGTGCTTCCTGGTCTTCAGTGATATGAGAGATGTTGATGTTGTCCTTGCTGATAGGACGTCCAATGGTAGGTGAGCTGGGAGCTCCGTTGACTGGAGATCCTGCACCGTTTGGCAGAGGGGGAAGAGGGATAGCTGGTGGGGGTGATGGCAGAGAGACGTGAGATGCGCTCTTGCGAATGGTTGAGTTAGAGTTTGACCGCTGGACGCCAGCCGCCACTTCGTCCATCTTAGCCTACGGAGTGTTAGTCAAGCCCACAAATCATCATGCTGAGACAAGCTTACCTGGAGAGCTGCATAATCTTCCTTCAAGACCTGCAATTCGGCAGTGAGGCGTGCAGTAGCGGCATTGGCCTCAACCAATTGGCTGTTGCGTTCAGTCTGCAGGGTGCTCAATCGGTTATTGGTAATTTGAACCTCGTCAAAGTTATTCTGAAGTTGCTCCTCAAGCTCCTCCACAAGTCTGCTGTTCTTCTTGCTTCGGTCATCCAGATCTGTCATCCTCTTCTTGGCGATCTTGATCTGTTCGACCAGGGGACCAGAACCAGCACCTCCATCAAGCATCTCGGCCAAAGCAACCTTGGCGTCTTCAAGGTCCTTCATGATCTTCTCATTAATAGATGTAAGCTCGTTAACATGTGACTCAATCTCGGCCCGCTTGGCCTGCTCCGCGTCAAGAGCCTTCTTGCTGGCAACAAGCTCATCGATACGCTCCACCAACTTCTCAGCATCAGCATCGAGACCAAGAGCCATGGCAACATGAGAAGCTGCCTTGTTGAGCTCATCGCGAACTTCTGCAAGCTCAGTCTCCAGTCGGTGAGCACTCTCAGCATGCTCGGACAGCAACACTTCAACCTGCTCTTCGTAGCCCTTCTGCTCGGTCGTCTTAAGATCAGCCAGGGCCTTAGCGTGCTCAGCCTTGAGCTCCTCGAGCGATGTCTCGTTACTCTTGGCGCCCTCATCATGAGTCGCAATCTGCTCCTGCAGCTTGGCAATAAGCTCTAGCTGACGGGAGTTGTCCTCCTGCACAGCGTTGTGAGACTTGTGGAGCTCGTCCAGCTCGGCGCGAGCAGCAGCATGAGCCTGCTCAAGCTCAGCAACCTTGGTAGCGTTGCTGTTGATGATGGCCTTGTACTCATCAATCTCGTTGCGAAGGAAGCTGATGAGGTTCTGTTGTCGCTGCTCAGCTTCGCTATTTGGCTCATCCTTATCCCCATTCTGGGATCGAGATGCAGAGATTTGAGCATGGTTGGAAACAACTCGGGCCTCAAGCTCCTCAATAGTACCCCGCATCTGGGTTTCTGTTGTCGCCATCGAGTCAAGGGCCTCCTTGTGCTTCTGTTCCCAGGTGGCAAGCTCAGTCTGGAGCTCGGCAACACGCTGCTCATGCTTGGAGTCAGCATTGTCAGGCTCCTGGAGACTAGACTTTGCAGCAAGTGCTTGTCGCAGAGACTCAAGCTCGGTTGTGAGCGCTTGCTCACGAGCCATGTGAGCGTTCCTCGTATCAGAAAGCTGTCTCTCATTCTGCTCGAGCTGATCCCGCAGTGTTGCCACCATGGACATCTCTACAGGGCTGGCCTTGAGACTTGATCGCTCTCTTGTCAGTCCTGAGATAATGGTCATCTTGGTCTCCATCTCCTTCTTCGCTGCTGCGACATCTGCTTCTAGTTCCTGAATGCGTTCGCTCCTGACGTGCAGTTCGTGGATAGCGGCATTCAAGTTCAGCTCGAAGCTCTGCATGGCCTCGGGTTGACCGCCGAAGTGCTCAGAAGCAATATTTCGCAGCGATGAGAATGAGCGCTGAGCACGGTCGACAACGAGCAGGTTCTGACTTGACTTGCGTCGAATGACAGGAGTGCTGGAACGAGGTGATGTAGCTTCCGCAACTCGGGCGCGAGATAGGTCAGTCTTGAGCTCCTCAACAATATCGAGGGTCTCGTTATGCTTGAACTCAAGCTGGGCATATCTCTCGGCCAATTCTCTTTCAGCAGCCTCACGTTCCTGGGCCATAGATTTGAGTCTTTGGAGCTCAGCAGCAATCTCAACGTTATCATCCTGGGGCAAGTTCTCTGTTGATGCGGCTGCAGGTTTTGTGGTAGCGGTCTCATCGTCAGACAAGATGTCACCGTTCGATGAAGCAGCAGTGGCCGGAGAATCCATGGCTGAGGACAATTCCGAAGAGAGCGATCGTGTGAAGGATGACCTCGGCCCAGCCTTCAGATCATTTGTTCTAGAGTCAGAAAGGAAAGACTCGGGTCGGGTATGGGTTGGTGTGGCCACAGAAATAACCGACTCGCGCTTGGGGTTCACATGACGGGCCTCATCAACGACATCCTGCATCTCAGCAATCTTACGCATAGCATCCTCGTACTTGGCGTGGAGAGAATCGTAGTCATGAAGAGTCGACTCGTGCTCCACACGCAAGTCAATAAGCTCCTGCGTAACATTCTCAAGCTTGTCAGCAACAAACTTAGTTTGAGCTGGGCTTTGAGGAGGGGCCTCTTCGGTTGGCTTCTCAAGGCGCAGAGGATCCTCATCCACTTCCTTGACGGGGCCAATCTTGGTATGAGGGTGGTCCTCCTCGTCACCTTCGGGAATCGGGTCCTCCATTTGGCTATGGCGACTAACGTGGGAAAGATTTCGCGAGTGTTCGGCCATAGCACGACGGGCCGCAACGCCGTTGGTTTGCTCAGCATTGTGATCAGTTCCGTTCTCGGTGCCTGGTTCCTTATCTTGGATCTGGTCAAGCTCGTGGAGAAGCGAGTCGAGCTTACCAAGACTTCTTTGTCGTTCAACCACTTGCTCAAGTCTATCGATTTCACGTTGCATCAACTCAGCATCTTGGTCCGCTTCAGCAAGACGCTCTTCAAGGGTCGAGATGTAATCTTCACATGACGCCTCATTCTCTCGAACGCGGGAAATCTCCTTACGAAGTTCCATGATGATCGTGGCGTTCTTCTCTTCACCGTTGGTATGTCCGTCCAACTTGGCCTCAAGATCGTGGAGGTAACTCTCAGTGTTATTCTCTCGGTCCATGAGCTTCTGGAGACGGCTCTGGAGCTGTGAGTTGATAGTTTCGACATAAGCGCATTTCGTCTCCTTCTCGAGAAGGTTAGCCTCGGTGTTAGAGAGAGTGCCGCGAGTAGAAGAGAGGGACTGCTCGAGAGACTGAATCGTTTTCTCGTATTCCATAACGACTTGCTCAACAGCTTGCGCGAATGAATTCGATCGGTTGAGGCGGTCATCTGCTGTATCGCCTGATTCCTCATGGTGGTCCGCGCCAGATTCATTTTCACGAGCGCGCGCCAACTCGGCAATCAGTCGAGCATGACGCTGGCTCAAGGCGGTATAGCTCTCTTGGGTGTCCAACAACTGGTTCTGGAGCTCAGCCTCACGCTCGTTTTGACGATCAGAACGATCAGTAATTCCTTGTGCGTTACGTCGAGGGCTGTTGCCGCCATGTTCGGCACTGCGGATTTGTTCACGGAGGAAGGCAACCTCAGCCTTGAGGCGGTCAATCACAGATTGCTTATCGCCCTCTTCGATTTGCTGAATGCGCGGTTTCGATTGAATCGCTCGAGCTCGTTGGGCATACTGGACGGTGTTCAGGGTCTCGCTCAAGTGGAATTCGGCCGGCGTAACACAGGCAATCATGTAAGTGATGGCATTACCACCGAGCGAGTCTTGTAGCAGCCGGGTAAGTCGAGAGTCGCGGTAGGAGACGTGGGAGCCAGGGTTTCTTGACGAAAGCTGGCTAATAACTTTACCAAGGGCGGCAAGACCGGCGTTGATAGAGATACCCTCCTTTGCTCGATCGCCCTGAGCTCCAGTGTTCTTCAGTCTTTCACTTCCAGCCAAATCCACAAAGTGAAGTTTGCTGTCGGTTGTCACAGTGACATCCTGGCCCGTCATCGCTTCGAGTGGTACGGAGAAGCGCTTCTCGGCGGCTGACGACTTGTTCTTGCGCTGAACAAGGTTAAGTGAGAAAACCGCATGGGATCGCGACGACTTGGCGTTGATAGCCGTGGCATCGGTTTGTCGAATAGAGG